TAGTCTCTAGTTTTGTATTATACTTAGGGTTGAAATAGCACAGGGTCAGAATTAATAGTAAGGCTACTTTAAGGTGCTTAAAAGCGACATCACACTCTGTAGTCTAGTTAAAGGGGATAGAGGGGCTTTATAATATAATTAGTAGCTTAGCTACGTAAGAGAAATTAGGTACAAATTGTTAATAGAAACCTGTAAATCCTAGAAACAATTTTACACTAGTAATAGTTATAGGTTGCTCCTAGTTTTATAAGGCTTCTACTTTGTTAGGGTTAACCTTAATTCCTTAGTTAGTAAGGATATAACCTAGATACTTTGTCCTTGTAATATAGAACTTACTTTTCTTAATATTAGCCTAGAGTCCTGCAATTTGCAACCCCTCTAGAACTTTCTTAATATATAACTTATAAGTCCTAGGGTTGTTAGAGTAGTTAAGGGTATTATTAAGGTAGGCAATGCAAAATTATTAAGATAGTTAATTAAAATATTATTTATATACTATTAATAGGTTATAGGGCTGTTAGTTAATCTAAATAGTAGTACCTTATATTTATAGGTTCTGTAACAAGTCTAAAAGGTTATGTACTCCTCTAAGGCAGGATCTATCTATATTTAATTAAAGGCTGCGCAGATATCTAACTTAGAGAAGATCTTTACTTTAGATAGTTGCGTAAGCAGTTTATCTATGCGTAGTATTAGATACACATCTTTCTAAGTTAGTTAGTTAAGCTTCTAATAGTCTACGCAGATGCGCAGATTGCTATTTAACTTGCAAACACACAGGATAGGAGAGGCAAACAGGCTGCTACTACTTTTAATCTAGCCTTGCTTAAGGTAGTCCTGCATATATTGCTTAGTTGCTTCTAGTTCCTCTAGGTTTTGCTTATATAGAGGACTAAAGTTGTTTAGAAGGGGTTTAGTTAATATAATCTTGTAGTTATAGGGTTAGTGCTTAGGGAGTTCCTTAGTAGCTGTTTTACTAAACACATCCTAATATAGGTTGTAACAAGCTAGAAGTTGTGCGTTAATAAGCGCAGCATTCTTAGGGTTATCCTCTAGTTTCTTGTCTAAAATTAGTTAGTTTATCTTATACAAACTAGTTATAAAGAATTTATTTTCTTTTCTTTTTATATTAAAATAGAATATATTTATAGAAATAAGAGTAATAGAAGGTAAAGGGGAAGGATTTAGTAGGGTTTTAGGAGTTAGTTATTATAAGTCTGTAGGTAAACTTAGAATTATAGGAGGTGTAAACTTCTAGCTTTTTAGCGTATAGAGTAATCCTTAAATTTAATAGATAACTAGTGTGCTATAGCTTCTCTAATACTTATCCTGTTCCTATAAGTTATTATATTGTTAAATGTTAAGAGCAATATATTGTAATACAACGTTTTAATAGAGGGATATAAGTATTAGCAGAGTGGGGTTATAAACAGCTAGGTACTAGTTAGGCTAAATAAGTTAAGAACGCTCTAAATCTAGCTAGAGCTTGAATCTTCTTAGTTACTAGATTCTAATAATGCAGTCTTGTAAACCTAAGTCTATAATTATAAATAGATAGTTGTGTATCTTTCTACTGTCTATAATTATGTAGAGTTAGATATACTATGTAACTAGGGTTAAAATCTAGTCCTTAAAACCTTTTACTAAAATCTTAAATAGTAGCTTTAGATAGGAATCTAAAGAGCTAAAGAAATTAAAGAAGTAATTTTAGAGTTAAGAAAAAGGTGTCCTTAAGCTTTAGTGTTAATTAATAAGTTAATATAGACACTAAGGCCTTTTAAGCATAAAATAAACTTAATAAGGAAATATAAACTACTAAATAAACAAGATAAATTAAGATTAGATAAGTTATAATAGTTTAGGCCTAGGAAGGGAACTCCTCCTAGGCTTCTTTGTTTCCTGTCTAATTATTGTTATTAGTGTTGTAGTTATGTGTTTTAGAGGCGTCTATAAGGTCTTTATTACTAGCCAACTTAATCTTGCGTACGCGTGGGACTAGGCAGTTATTGGCGTAGTGTCCTGGCTTACCGCAGTTATAGCAGTTACTAGGTGTTAGTGTTAGTGTGGATTCCTTGACAGGTCTAGGGGTCTTGGAGAAGGCCCTTAGAGCAGGTACAGATGGTGCTCTGCTTAGCTGACGTTAATATAATAACAAAGCATTGTAATCTCTAGAAGGTGTGACCTTTTTAGCAGTGTCTGAAGCAAAACAATTTCAGCTCTGCGTTAGAGGGGCACTAGAATGTCTAAATATTCCTGTAAGGTTAGGTTAGTTGCTCTACTCTATATTAAACGCAGTTAAGTGCTCTACTATAAGTTTAAATAAATTGTTCTACTACCTCTTGAAACCTAGGTTAGGCACATAAAGTCCTAAGGTAACCTTAGTCTATAGGTAGTAGAACCACTCTGTTCTAGGTACTTGTCCACGTATAGCTGCACTAAGAAAACAAGCTTTAAACGCAGGGAATAATTTGTTCTTGTCTATAGTAAGCTAGTTAAATACAGCTCTACTCTTAGCCTTCTTATTTCCTGTAATAAAATAGGACTTAAGAAGGGTAAGTATCTCTTCAGCGTCCTAAAATAACTCTAAAGGACTGTTAGCTAGATACTAAGGCTCTAGATATTCTTTGGCTAGGCCTATTGTGTGTCCCTATACTAAGGCTATTTAAGCGCGCTCGCTCTAATAGTAATCTGTGTTAATTTCTAATTAGTCTTGTATAGAGGCCTGCTATTGTTTAAAGGTTAGACTAGTTCTATTATTAAGATTATTAATCTTTAGGGTATGTTTAGAAAGTTTCTGCCTAATATTATAGTCTAGGGGTGTCTTAGACTAGAACTGTAATAGCTATTAAGACATAGTTAGGATTAATTTAGTAGTTAGTAGCAGGTTGTCTAATAGTTATTAGGAAGCCCTTAGTTAGGAGATTTTAGTACAAAGTCTTATAACTTCTTTTACTAGGTCTATCTTATCTAAGTCTAAATCTACTTCTTAATTACTTTTAGCTGCATTCTTTGCTACTAAGGTTTAATTAGGGGGTAGTTTAGAGGCCTTATTTACTGCGCTCTAAACTTAGGCTAATCTTCTTGTAGGTTTCTTAGAACTAGGGGTGTTGCTGCCTAATATTAGTATTATCTCTAATTCAGGTAGGTTGTTAGTAGTCTCCTAGTCTCTACCTTAGCGCTATCTAACGCGTCTTTTCTAAAGTAATCTAGACATAATTGTCTTAGAAGTTCGAAACCTAAAGGCTTTAGTTGTTAGGAGATCTCTAGTATCCTAACTGTAGCTAAATGCTAGATGTAACAGTGTGTAGTGTAGGCTGGCGGATGGGTAGGGTATGCTTTTTTACGTTTTAGCTTATAGCTTCTTAACTAGCAGAGATACGCTTACATAATCTATTAT